GTTGATTGTGGAGCCAAGCAAGCTATAATTGCTAACAAACTCAACTTCTTCTCCATCTATCATGATGCTGCCAGTTGGCCCAGTGGTGAGAATCTTTGTCTTCTTGATGTTGAGCCTCAATCCATATCGAAGAATACAGTTCTTGACCCTCTGCAGCAAGCACTTCAGGTCCCCCTCAGTTTCAGCAAGCAGGGTTGTGTCATCTGCATAACGCAGATTGTTGATGAGTCTTCCTCCAATCTTGATGCCACATTTTTCCTCATAAGATCATCCTCTGGAATGGTCTGTTCTGCATGTTGATTGAAAAGGTTTGGAGACAGGACGTATCCCTGACGTACTCCTTTCCTGATTTTGAAACATGCAGTGTTTCTCTGCTCTGTTCAGAGGACTGCCTCCTGGTCCAAGTACAGGTTTCACATGAGCACAATCAGGTGGTCTGGGATTCCCATCCTTCTCAAGATTAACACAGTTCGTTGTGATCCACACAGTCAAATGCCTTTGCACAGTCAGTGAAACATAGACATTCCTCTGGTACTCTCTGCTTTTGGCCAAGATCCATCTGACATTGGCAATGATGACCTCTTCTAATCCAGCTTGCATTTCTGGTAGTTCTCTGTTCATTTACTGTTCTCATAGTTTTTGAATAATTTTCAGCAGGATTTTGCTTGCATATGATATTAGTGCTGGGCTCTATGAGGAGAAGTGTGGTGTCAGGATTGGTGGAAGGTCTATTAACAATCTGTGTTATGCAGCTGACACAACCCTGCTTGCCGAAACTGAGGAGGACCTCATGCACTTGCTGCAGAGGGTCAAGGACTGCAGCCTTTAGTATGGACTGAGGCCCAATGTCAAGAAGACAAAGATTCTCACCACTGGACCAATTGGCAGCATCAGGATGGATGGTGAAGAGATTGAGATTGTTCACAGCTTCAGTTTGCTCGGCTCCATGGTCAATAGTCTTGGCACCAGCAGCCAGGAAATAAAAAACCGTATTGTGATGGGAGAGTCTGCTGTTAGGGACCTCTCTAAAGTACTCGGGAGCAACGGTGTCTCTCTGGAGACTAAGGTACGTCTGATACAGGCCATGGTCTTTGCAATCACTTGTTATGCGTCAGAGAGTTGGACAATGACTAGGGAGGACAGAAGGAGAATTGATGCCTTGAGCTGTGGTGCTGGAGAAAAGTATTGAATGTACCATGGACTGCCAAGAAAACAAACAGATTCATCCTAGATAGGGTTAAACCAGGCTACTCCTTGGAGGCAAGGATTCTGGGGCTTCGTCTGACATACTTTGGGCATGTTGCAAGGAGGGACAGGTCCTTGGAGAGGGACATTATGCTTGGTAGGGTGGAGGGACAGCACAGGAGGGGAAGACCCTCTATGAGGTGGATTGATTCAGTGACTGGGGTAATCGGGATGGCTGTGTCAGAGGCAATGAGATTGGCACAGGATAGAGCAGGGTTTAGGGCTGTTGTACATAGGGTTGCTATGAGTCGCAAACGATTCAACGGCACATAACAACAACAACATGATATTAGTGACGTTGTTTGATAATGCTCACACTGTCGGATTACTTTTTTTTCCCCAGATAGGAATAAATATGGATCTCTTCTAGTCATTTGGCCAGGGGGTTGTCCTCCAAATTTCTTGGCATAACCTGATGAGCATCTGTTTTTTAAGGTATGTCAATCAGTATTCTATCAATTCCTGGGTCTTGTTTTTTGCCAATTCTTTCAGAGTAGCTTGAACTTCCTCCTTTATCACCATTGCCTCTTTTTTTATTTTTTTAAATTATTGTATTATTTTTTACGTGTACCGTCAAATCAGATCTGACTGGTACAGGAGGAGATTGCCCCCTCCTTCTCCAGCAGAGCATCTGGTGGATTTGAACCGCGTACCTCTGGGATTGCAGTGCAGCTTCTTGCCATTAGGCCACCAGAGCTCCCTACCATTGCCTCTTGAACATAGGTTACTTTATGAAATTATTTTGTGTCAGCCACTTCTTTTTGGTACAGTGACTGAACGTATCTGAAAGCCTTGACCCAGCACCCCTATAAAATCGGCGTCTGCCTTCCAGAAGCAGAGTCCTCTGTCAGGATTAATGATAACAGAGCCCTCACTGGGAGTCAGGCTCTCAGCCGGAAGGGACAGAATCACCACCAGATCACCCCACAGAGGGGAAGCTGAGGCTGGCAGGGATGGGCAAGCACCTGGGCACCGGGCCTCGAGCTCCACGTGCACTGGGCTCACCCACTCGCTGACATTGACAGTGACCTTAGCCCACAGGCCCCCGCCCAGTGCTCTGTCTCCAGCTCTTCTGACTTTGCTCCTGGACCACCTGCTGGGGATGCCACCCTGAAATCCCGCCCCCCCCCCCAGCCTCCTGGCATCTCCCATCTGCTTCCCTGAAGTCTTTTCCTCTGGGAGCCGGCTGACCTACTGTGTGCTGTTGCTGGAGCTGTCCTAGAGGGCGTGGCTCACAGTGCCCGCGGTGACCAAGCAGTGCTGCCCACAGGGTTTCTGTCCCAGGTCCTCTTCAGGAGGGCAGACTGCAGCCCTTTCTTCCTCGGAGCCCCTGGGTGAGTCCGGACCTCTGACCTTTATCCCGAGCATTTTACCGCCGCTGCTCCTGACCTGCTAGGAGCTTGTTTACCAGCTGTGCCCCGCTGGAACTCCGCCTCCGGGGCAGGGCTTTGGGACAGAGTCCTTCACGGTGAGGAGTCAGACTTGCGCTAGGAGCTCCTCGTCACAGCACAACCTTGAGCTCTGAGCTCGGCCACAGCTTCATCCAGCAGATCGCGCTCTGGTGGTGCGGTGCTTCACGCATTGGGCTACTAACCCAAGGGTCAGCCTCCGAGTCCACCAGCTCTTGCCCTGTGGGCCTGACAGCCTCGGCCCCGATGGAGGGCCAGCCTTGCATGTAGGTTGCCACGAAGCCAGTGACCTGCTGGCCGTGGATTTGGGCTCATCTGATGGCGGTCAGGTGTCCGGCTGCTATGTCAAAGGTCGGCTGTTTGAACGCACTGACAGGTGTGGCCCCTGAGGCTCCTGGAGGCGCGCTGTGGTTGGAAAAGACTCGTAGGCAATGGGGCTTTGTGGTCACCTGCTAGGCGGGGTACTCGCCCGGGAGCACAGTTCACAGATAAGAAAACCAAGGCCTAGAGGAGGGGGTGTGGAAACCTCCCCAGGACGCAGGATGTGGCCGGCCCCCAGCAGGGTAGTTCCGGCTCGTCGTGTGTGAGAGGACAGCGGGGCTTCGTAGAATATTCGAGGCTGTGGCCTTCCGGAAGCGCATCACCAGGCCTTGCTTCCGCGGCATGTCCGGCAGTGTCTGTGCAGCCCAGCGCCCGGCCATCCGAGCTGCCCAAAGCCGTGGGGGCCTGGAAGCCCAGAGCCGCTGGCAGAGCCCTCCCATCCCCCAAGAACGTGCTGACCCTGGGCTCTCTGAATCTAGAAGGGGGATGCGGGAGGGACCCCAAGTCGCTGGGCCCCCTGAGGAATCTGTCCCTGGCCCGATAGAATCATACCGCACTTCGTTGACAGAAGAGGAAACGGGGTGTTGAAATCCAAAAAGTCCGAGGGCTTGTCTGGTCTACCCGCTTGCTTACCTCCCGAGCCAGACTGCTCAGCCCCGCGCGCGCTGCGTCTCTCCAAAGACGGACCCCACTGCCCGGGGTGGCTGGGGTGCGCGCCCCCACACGCCGGGTCGGGAAGGCGTGGGGCCCCGCCGGAGCCCCCAACCCTCGGGGGCGGGGCCGCTGAGGCCGTGGG